ACCACAAAATCTAGTCTATTTTAACCATTGTAAGTATTGTGGCTTTTCAACAGGGGAAAGCTTCAATCCTCCAGAAAATAAACACACTATTTAAAGTGGTACATATTCATAAACCACAGAGGCAGACAACAGTATACAATCCATTTGCCATTATTCAAAGTGTCCTTTTGCAATTATATCAGTCAGTGGCCCTATCTTTACAATTTTTCCAGATTAATTTAATTACAAATGAAGCAGGAACTTGCCATATCTGCTATCTTGGAAATATTTTCCCATTAGTGTTTAATTTTTGGGCTAATTTGTCCCTACTCGGATGAGTTCTTTCCTTGTTTTTCCATCAGGATTTTATCCAACATCTATTGGATATTTTATCTGGTGCTACCAGATAGCCATTCTGGTTTTATCAGATATTATCCTCATGGATCTTGCAACACAATCACTCTGGCATTTTTTTTAAGAATCTATTTTCCAGCCAGATTTTTTGTATCTATAATTGAATCCTTGAACTTCTCCATGGATTTGTTATTACTAATAAATTATTTGCTGCCAGCTGACTGCTGACTCGTCAGTTTAGCGTGATAATCTCTATAATATTTCTTTTATATTTCTGAGGTGTTTTTATAGTGTCTATAGCTTTTACAGCATCTTTCTTATTGTGAGTCTCAACCTTTATGGCAGCAATTATTTTATATAACATCAATATATCAAGAAATTAATATTATTTTTCTAAGAGTGCCTGAAGATCTTTTTAAAAAGTTATTTCTATATGATGTTAAATAAGTGAATTATTCTGAAAGCATACCAGCTATTAGTTTATGTATCTGCTCTTTTCTTTTGACGATTTGTTAAGCCACAAGAAGACCATGATTCACTTATTAGAAAACTTTAGATTGTGGTCAAGTATTGCATTTTATAATACTGACTAGACTACTTACTGTGTATTAAACCTAGTAGTTTCCCTTTTTATCTTCACTATAAGTAAAACAATATTAAGTCAAGATTTAGTACTGGGGTGTTAATCATTACCTCCTGGGTAGGGACACTGCTTGAATGACATCAACTCGATTCTGAGATTCTCCACCATTGATTAATGTTTCTAGAGCTGCTGCATTATGAGCATCACATCAGTCGGTAGTAATATGGAAGGGGAAGTAACAACAATTCATAATTAGCTAATTAACTAGTAGAGTGTTGGATGTTTCTGTTAATAGTAGGGATTTATTATGTATGGTAACGTTAGACTTAAACACCTTGTACAAAACCTAAAGATATTTTGAACAATTTAGTTTATGCCGGCAATTATCCTTAGGAGAGAAGACTAAGCATTGCCTATTGAATTAAGAGGTCGGCTCTATTGAGTGAATTAGTTATCTATTGCTGTGTAAAAAATTACTTCAAAATTCAGTAGCTTAAAACGGCACACGTTTATTATCTCTCTGTGAGTCAGGAATATTGGCACAGTTTAACTGGGTCTTCCACTTCATCATCTTTCACGAGACTAAAATCGAGGCGTCAGCTAGGGATGGGGTCTATTCTGAAGGCTTGATTGTGGAAGGGTCCACTTTCAAACTCACCTATGTGATGGTTGGCAGGAGGTAATCCTCAAAGATTGTTAGACTGAAGGCTTCAGTTCTTTGCTGGTTGTTGGGTGGGGACTGCTCTCAATTCCTCGCCTTGTGAATCAGCAACACGGCAGGTCATTTCATCAGAGCCAGCAAGAATCTGCTACCAAGATGAAAGTCATTATCTTATGTAACCTAGTTTTGGGACCAACACCCCATCAACTCTGCTGTACTCTATAGAAAAGAAACAAGTCATAGGCCTTGTTCATACTCAAGGGGAGAGGATAACACATGGACACGAATCCCAGGAGGGGCATCATTGGGGACCATCTTAGAAGCTGTCTACCATAATGAGCAATGGTTCTTTGATATGTGCTATGCTGTTGAGTTAATACGTCTAGATCATGGTGTAGCATTTTCATATATATATACAAAAAAGGAAAGATTTATGATAATCTAGGTGCCTAGGACAAACTGTGTGCTTATGTGCTCTGTTCCAATCCATCTTCCTATTTCTGTGGAGTTTCATCCACAGGGATTCTGAGACAAAAGCTATTTTTTGGATAATTTCCTAAATTATACATAGTGTAGATATTTTCATGACTAGAGCAGCTATAATTTGATCATGTGTAGGAACTGTAATATATCTTGTCTGGAAGTAAACCTACTGATTAAATTTATGGGTTTTGTGCCACAGAGAATAATGTATTCTTCCAATAATAATCTCAAAATACCAGTTATAGGTTGGGGCATAAGATTGTTAAAGATTTTCACTAATTGAGTGGTTTTATTAAACCAAAGTATCTGATGTTCTATGAATAGTGAGATTATTGGTAGACATAAAGTCACCTATATCAATAAGAAAGAGGTCATGCTTCCCTTCCTAGTTCGGAAGAAAGACAGGGAGTTCTTGGGTGCCAGTGTCTCCCATGGAGTTGTCATTGGACGGATTTTAGGTAGTTGTCCCTTTTAATTTGAGCTAATGTGGGACATTGGCTTTTTAAATGGTACTTCTGTTTGTGTCTATAGTTCTTTTAACAACGGGCTCCCAAATCATAGAATAGAGGTCTTTTTAGTTGTTTTACCCAAAGATATATAATTATATTGTTTCCTAGCTTATTTAATCTCTAAATCTATCTGGAAATGTATCGGATATTTTCTAAGTTGATAATTTTACATTTTAACTCTTTTTTTCTGTTTGATTCCCCTAATTCAGGTCTGGGTCTATTTACAGAAAAAGAAGATATAGTCCTTATGTCAGCTGTTGAGTCTGCCTTAGAATTGTTTGAAGGTTTTCTAAAGTCTTTCATCTTTCTTTAGTTTATAATTTTGAATAATATAAATACAATTTCAAATCTTTCAAATTTCAAATATAAATTTGAATCTTGACTAAAGAAAAGCTTCTGAAATTTCCTTATGTAATGTATTTTTTATTTTTACTTTTTAAAATTTTATACCACTGGGTTATTTAAATTTTATCTGTGGCATTTAAACATTTTCCTCCAGGAGGCTAACAATTAACTGAATTAATTGGTACATGTCTATAGTGCAGGACAGCGAATATCTAATAAAAATCCTAAATTCTGCAGATAATATTTTGCCTGTATCCCTGAAATTTCAGAAAATTATTAATTATAGCTCTTAATTTAGTTCCAGACCAGGGTTTTCATTCAACTTCCATATTTCTGACTTATATTCTAGAAATTCAAACTACGGTACTCTTTTCTAATGAGAAGTCTGAGAACAGAATATCTCATTTACAAAACCAGGTAAACTTGCATAGAAAAAGAGAAATACAAAGAGGGTAGCTTTCAGAAGTTTACAAGGGCCTTGACAAAGCCTACATTGGAATTGGAATTTTATTTAGCAAGCTCCGTATCCCAGTTAAAGGAGCTGAATATTGACTATTTAGTAGTTTAGTCCCTAGTTTGTCCACAGCATCTCTTAAATATTTTAATTTCTTGATTGTGTCATATCAAAAGTCCCTTCTAAGGGTCATTGTTATACTAAATATCTATCTATCTACCATCTATCTAATCATCTTTCTAAACTTTATCGAGGAAATGAGAAGATTTAGGATTAAAATCTGACTTTCCATAGGAGGCCGAAGTTCTTGCAGGAAGAGGTTGAGACTTTGACAGAGACAAACCCAAGAGACACAAGGGAGCGAGGCCACTTTGATCAGGCAGGAGTGAGTGCCTGGGAATGGCCGGTGCTCATTTTTATGAGGGAGTCTGTTTTGGATTGGCTGATTATCAGAAGCAAGGGCTGACAGCGACTGGGTGGCATGGGGGGAGCTGCTGTTGACTAAACAGGTTTAAAACAGGTTCTGATGGTTCCTTATTCCCATGGCTGCAAAACGATGAAACTCTTCCTAAATTTATGGAAATATTTTTACTCTCACAATTTGGGAAATATTGGCCCAGACCAAACACAAAATCCTGCGAAGGGATTGTCTCCAGGACCGGACCAAACTCTCTCTGTCTCTGAAATACAAAACAGGCTTTGTTCTCCAACTCTAGGGAAGGATAAGCAAGCTTTTAAGAACATAGCATCTCCTCTCCTTTCAAGAGATGGTGAGGGGAGCTTTCATCCTTTCTCGGTATGTCTATTAGAAGCTGATAACTCAGACCCTCATATGACACATACAGATCATACTTGACTGAAGGGGGGATATTTAAGGTGAGTAATATAATATGTGCTAAATATGAAAGTGCAGCTTCTTCTAAAGAATTCGAATGAAATTTATGTTTACAATACTCTGCTGGCCAAAAAATACTTGTCTTTGGTCTGGACTTGCCTCTAGACAATAGCCACATAAAAATAAAAATTCTGTCAGTTCGTTTCTTACTAACTTATTCCATTACATTATCACCATTTAACCTTCACTGGAAACACAGTTTTAACTTCCTTCTTTTTCTTTCTTTTTCTGAAAGTGTGGAATCAAATTCCACCCACAGAGTGGCATCCATTTATAATGCTGGTGTTGAAAGGAAAGATTATTTTTATAGGTTCAAGTATGTCACATTAGGTTTGTGATGAGATTAGGTTGGGAACATGATTATCCAGGGAAGACAGTGATGCGTCTTTATTTGTGTAATAGTGATTTCTTATTTATTTTTTTGGTGAGGAAGATTCGCTCTGAGCTAACATCTATGCCAATCTTCCTCTATTTTGTATGTGGGATGCCTCCACAGCATGGCTGATGAGTAGAGTAGGTCCATGTTGGGGATCTGAACCCGTGAAACCAGCTGCCAAAGCTGAGCGCTAACCACTTGTCAATGGGGCTGGCCCTAGTGAAGCATTTTTTAAAAGCATTAAGATAACATAAATCATGGAAGATGCAAATATAGCTACGTCTCTGCTAACTAGTAAGCGTTGTTGTTATTGATCAGTAGAAATCTTGCAGTCATTCTAAAACTATTTTTCTCATCACAGGCTGTGAACCCATTCCTGTCCGCTATCTTGAGTGGAGCAATATAGAATCCATCATCGCCATCGCCTTTTCCTGTCTGGGCATCCTTGTCACCTTGTTTGTCACCCTCATCTTTGTGCTGTACCGGGACACACCAGTGGTCAAATCCTCCAGTCGGGAGCTCTGCTACATTATCCTCGCTGGCATCTTCCTTGGTTATGTGTGCCCTTTCACTCTCATTGCCAAACCTACCACCACGTCCTGCTACCTCCAGCGCCTCCTGGTTGGCCTCTCCTCTGCCATGTGCTACTCTGCTTTAGTGACCAAAACCAACCGCATCGCACGCATCCTAGCTGGCAGCAAGAAGAAGATCTGCACCCGGAAGCCAAGGTTCATGAGCGCCTGGGCCCAGGTGATCATTGCTTCAATCTTGATTAGTGTGCAGCTAACCCTGGTGATAACTCTGATCATCATGGAGCCCCCCATGCCCATTCTGTCCTACCCAAGTATCAAGGAAGTCTACCTTATCTGCAATACCAGCAACCTGGGTGTGGTGGCCCCTCTGGGCTACAATGGACTCCTCATCATGAGCTGTACCTACTATGCCTTCAAGACCCGCAATGTGCCCGCCAACTTCAATGAGGCCAAATACATTGCATTCACCATGTACACCACTTGCATCATCTGGCTGGCTTTTGTGCCCATTTACTTTGGGAGCAACTACAAGATCATCACTACCTGCTTTGCAGTGAGCCTCAGTGTAACGGTGGCCCTGGGGTGCATGTTCACTCCCAAGATGTACATCATTATTGCCAAGCCCGAGAGGAACGTCCGCAGTGCCTTCACCACATCTGATGTAGTCCGCATGCACGTTGGCGATGGCAAGCTGCCCTGCCGCTCCAACACTTTCCTCAACATTTTCCGAAGGAAGAAATCGGGGTCAGGGAATGCCAAGTGAGTTATCTGACCTGGGTTCACCTCCTGCTCTCTCTCTCTCTCCCTCTCTCTCTCTCTCATTCTCTCCATCCTTTCTATTTTCTTCTATTTGTCTAAATCATTTTCTTCCATTCCTCCAATGTTTTTCACTTTCTAATCTTTTCTCTTTTTTCAAATCTCACATTCTGTTGCAGTAGGAATGTAATTTTAAAAGTCTTTTTTGTTTTCATTCTTTTGGAAGAGCAAGGAGATGAAGCAACAGCCAGCTAAGCATATTCTTATCCTTACCTAGAAGCTGCAGTTTCTATTCTGTCAATAATTTTTTCCTTTCACATGAGTCCTCCCTCAATGGAGCACCAACACATCTCTGGGGTCTGGGTGAGAGATGTAAACTCTAGTTCTAATTTCTTGTTCAGACCATTATTCTAGAGCCACATCTCTACTATTCTGGGGTGCAGAGGAAGAAAATTAAGCCCCTGGGGAAATTTGATCATTTCAAAATTTGACTGCCACTGAGCACCAAGTATGTCCTAAAGCGAGTTCCCTTAAGCAACTGTCTTACCATGACCCTCTTATTTATTAAACTTTAATGTATGTTTTAATAAAGACAGTCCACAATGCTACACATGAATTGAGCTCTCTCTACTGCAAGGCCACGATTAGAATGGTTTCCTAGCCATAAAACACCCAAGGAAACAAGGAATCAGATAAAGCTGATGAGCCCCGAACTCGAGAGTCAGTAAACATGAAGGTCCAGATTATTTCTATTCTGGTAATTCTTCTGAGTAGTTTGTGTAATAAACATTTTCCTGTCTTCTTCCTGACTCTGTTTTGCAAGGCAGCATATGTTAAAATTTGCATGTGTCATCTCTTTCTAAGACGCATGAAAACAAATTTCATGTAACATCTACAATTTTAAAAACGGTAAGGATGCTTGGGGTTCTAAAGGTAATTCTATTATCCAAAACTTAAGCAATTTTATTCATTAGTAGCATTAATTCTACTTTTTGAAACAATCCTTTGAGTGAAGAATTTTAATAGTAATAATTAAAAATATACATTGTTTTACAACTATTCCACCCACCTGAATGAGTCAGCAGGGTAAGGGGGATGGGTGTTATCCTCCACCATTTTGTAGGTGAGGAAACTAAGCCACTGTGCATTTGTGTGACTCATAAGTGTAATTCCACTTAGCCATTCTTTGCTTAGGTCTTAACTGGTACAAAATTTCTCGTCTAACATATGTCAAAAATTCTACACTCCTTAAACTTCTGGGTTTTGTATTTTTACTTGCCAAGCAGCACCCTAGGCATTTTTTTACAGAATCATATAATTGGTTTGAAGAACAGGTGAAGGAATCTATGGGAAAATATATTTTTAAAATCTGTAGAGTTATTATTTCAAATAAAGACCCCTAAATTTTTGCAGTATTAAGGATGAAGCTAATAATTTATGCCTACTTTTTAAAGCTATATCAGTTTCAAGTTCTTCATAAGATGCTGATCATAAAAGTTGCTTTGTCATCTTTTTTTCCTTGCCATGGCTTTTCATGCTAGCCAACATCCACTTAGTAGCAGCCTCCTGGCAGGGAGTTATCAGCAAGCAAAAAAGCAAAACAACAGGAGAAAAAAAACAAAACAGAGCACAGTCACAGAGTCCAGATGTAGAATGGTATCATAGCAATTTTCATTAAGAGGGAAGGAATGAGCGGAGACAAAATGAAAAGAAAGGAGAAAACACACTTCAAGCTGGAATGTTTGCAGAGGCTAAGAGATTTCCCTTATCACATCCCATATGGCTTTATGAAGGCTCCGTTCCATCATCCACCATCATCCAGCTCCACGTTTCTAACTTTTCTCCTTTTATTATGTTTCTTCAGAAAGTTTCATATGATTTTTAGTCATGGGTCAATTCTGAAAGATTTCTCCTAACCATTTAATGAAAAGAGGGGACCTATGTGATAAGTATAACTTGTGTTGGTACCTTGGAATATGCATTTTTGAAAGCTCTCTCAGGGATTCTACAGACAGACAGACATGGGCACCTGTCCAAGAGAGCAGCGACTAGTGAACAGTATACAGCGCTTGCTGCTGGAGTCAGCTGACGTCACGGTAACAGTGCTCAGCCCTTCCATAGCAGCCGGGCATTACTGTACCTTCTGATCAGCTTCTTACACCTTCCACTGCTTTCCTCGTAGGCTGAGAATGTTCCCTTCACTGTTATGAATTTAAAAATTAATTTCATTTGGGTTCCTGCTTTTAAGAGAAAAACCATCTTCTTCTAAACTGAATTTACTGTCTAGGAAGTGCTGGTTTTACCAGTAAACTGCTTATCTATTAGCTGTAATTTATCAAGCACCACCATATTTTTACAGTAATCATACACTTCTAATTAATAATTATAACATGTAGCTTTCTTAATATGATCAGTATCTTCTCCAAGTGTACCAAACAGCTGAGCTGAACTACAGAGGGCATTTGAAGCTAAACTTCTGTGGAAAACAACCATTTATTTACTCATTTTTCTCATTTATTCTGCTGCGGCTTCTCTTCTAACTCTCTACGAAACTGTAATTTTAAAATGTAACAATAATCGGAGTGCCTATGTTTTTACCTTTTTTATTGACCTTTTCTGTTTTCCTGGTTTGTCTCCAATGTTACAGAGACCACAAACAATCTAATATTTTCTATAGCAACAAAAATCTAGAAGAGTTTTGCCAAATGAAGCAAGGGCTGAGGACTCTGGAGAACACATTACCAATGAGTTTATTACCACTCTGGATGTGTGATTCCTGCATTTACGGGCACTGAGGGCACTCAGCAGCCTCATATGCAGCTATAAACACAGAGCAGATGCTGTAATGAAGAGCTTCCAACTGCTCTATCTGTTTGAGTATGATTCTGAGGAGTTGCAAGGCCAACTACCTTCTCCTAACAGGCTGTTTTGGAGATACACAGGAGGGTAAAAGTTGTGTGTCTGTTTTTCCATAGTTTACTTCACTTTGTTATTTTACTTTTGCAAGCCAAATATCTGACACAACCAAAGGTTTGGGCATTTGCTTTATATTTTCTGAAATGTAATTTAGGAGGAGTTTAATCAATAAATTGGATGTTGGATTTCTTGAGTTACTTATAGTTACAAGTCCTGTTAAGCATAAGCCTACCCTGGAAGAACAATAGAATAGTATAATTGCCTTTGACATCTCTAATTTCTTTAACTGTTAATGTATTTGAATGGGAAAATATTCAGGCTTAACGTAATATAAAGATGTTGGTAAAATTCTCCTTCTTGGCAATAGAAAAAACAAGCAATCCATGGAAATTCATAATTAAATAAATTATTTAGATCCAAATTATTTATCACTTCCTTTTAAAGCAAAAGGAGTTAACATTATGCAACTGAAAAAATAAAATATTATGCAAATGACATGCTGCCGTAAAAAAAACCAGGTTATATCAATGATTAAATGTCAAACTAACATTTCTAGTTATTTTCTGGATAAATAACCCCAATGAGTGCCAAACAATTTGGTGGTACATGGAGCTGAAATGTGACAATGTGCTCCTATGACCTTTTGCATTATAACTGTATGCAAAACTAAAAACAGTTACAATCACTGAAAAAGTCATTGGCTTGATGCAAGGAAGTAGTTTTAAAACATAGGTTCCTACGTAAATAGACTATTAGGATATTCCTGTGATTGTTTCTTACGCATTCGAAAATATGTTTTTATTGAGTGCAAAAGCTAAGTGAAACATTAATTGAAAGATGTTCAATGGAAATTTTCTTCTTGGTCTACTAGACACATTTTTTGTACACCAGTCAAGCCTGCATCATTAGTGATTAGGCCCTGGGTAAGCATTTTAATTTGTCTTTCCTCCTTTGATTTTGAAAGGAAATATGATAGTGAGCCAATAGATAATCACAATCAAACAGACAGAACATATTCTCTTTCACAGAAGGAACTCATTCACTATTCTACCTTGTAAATGAGAAAATCTGTCATTTTGAAATTATTTTTTCCTTAGTCATACAATAAATGGTCTTAAAAGTTACTGTAATTCTTCCTTTGACTTTATAATAAATATCAGAAGATTTTATTGAAGTACTTGTCAGAGAATTTTACTACTTGATAGTAACATTTATGGAGGATCGAGCTTTCATTCATTCATTTATTCACTCAATCCTTGTTTCAACAATAAGCTTAAAGGCACTTAAATACTTGATATGATGCTAGATAATATTCAGGATAGAAAAGATAGAAGAGGCAGGCACTGACTGCACCAGTCTTGCAATATAGTAAGGGAGATGCTCAGGAATATAACTATCTAGTGGGTTAGATGCCATAATAGGGGACCAGGAGAACATTTTGAGCGTCCAGGAAAGAAAGACATTATGCCCAGCCAATGGAAAAGCATCTGTGGAAGAATAGGGAAAGATTTCTTAACAAAAGTGGCATTTGAACTTGACCTTAAAGAATGTTTTCAACAGGCGAAATCATGCTATGATGAGACTTTTTCACATACAGAAAATAATGTAAGTGAAGATTCAGAAATATTAATGCACTTTCATGCCATGACATGAAATCTGGTATGAATGAAGTAGGTGGAGAGGTATAGTGGTGGGTAAATTTGTAACTGCAGAAAGAGGACAGATTATAGATGAGGATCAATGTTCTAAGAAGAAATCTGGATACTTTTTATATAAACCACAAGTGCATTAAAGATTTTTCTGAAGTTTTATGATCATGTGTAAGCTTTGTGGGAAGAGATTGTCTATAGAAAGACTAGTTGATAGAGTGCTACAATAGTCCAAATAACAGGTTAAAAATAAGATCTTTAAACTAGAGCAGTGGAATGAAAGTCAAACCCATGTATGCATATGAAACAGTTTTCTGAGCTCGATTCATTAGAACTGGAAAGGTTTGGGGAAAGGTAGGAAGGAATAAAAAATAGAATACAACTCTGATGATTTTAACCTGGGTGATTGGAAAAACGCAGCTACCATAAAAACAGATA